GCCTGAAACAGAAGCAAGATTATGATTAGTCTCTGGCTGCATCGTTAAAGCCTGCCGGTCATAATAAATGTATTATGTTTTATTCTGCTGATGCTCATTATGAGAATGGGCACTATTTATATCCCATAAATCCAAATTAAAGATCGTTCTGCCCTTATTTGCATCCATTAGTAGATGAAGTGTTGCAATATTGTGGTAGACAGAAGCCTTGCCTACAGGCCTTTTCACACTGCATACTTCATCTATAGGATTGAATAATTTTGTCAGTTAGATTGATATCATTGGTTAACATTATTCTTCATCGCCTACATAACCCTTGTTAGTGCATTATAAGAAAAAAAATTTCAGAGACAGATCAAATTTTTAGATTTTAGTGAAAAACTATGAAAACAGTAACATTTATTAAAAGCAACAAAATCAAAATTATTATATTTTAGTCTTCTTGTTCCTGGTCTTATTGTGAATGATTCCTCTGTGTGTTATTTAAAAAAAAAAGTGTTTTTGTAATTTTTCATCAAAATGTAATAACTTGCTCTGCCTGTGAAACGACTTTCCTTCTCCACTGATGTCACCAAGCCCTCTCATGTTTAGCCCCTCCCCTTCACAATCCATTCAATTCCCAATGCATAAGGTTGTTTAGTATCCTGTCACATTCAGAAAATCATCACATATAGTCTCATATCTAGGACTGAATCATCACTTCATTAAATCAAGTAAATTTGGAAAATTCATGTTATCATTAAAAATGGATTTTAGGTCCCATAAAGATTTTAGGCATGTAAAGTAAACTCTATCTGCAATAAAACAGACATTTCTTTCTCTTCCTCTGTTCATGAGTGCAGAGATTCGGGTTTGACTGAGGTAACGAGACCAGGATACGAACACACATGAGGAGCTTGAGGCTCTTCTTGATCTGTCAGAGTGATTTAAGAGCTTGTCCAGCTCATCGAGGGTTTGCTTTTGGGGCTTATAGATGCAAGCAGGATCTTCTGCTTCCAAAAGCTGAGAGACTTAATCTCACATTCTCAAACTGCATAAACCTCTGCATTAAAATCTAGGTAGAGAAGCGTAGTTTGGTGGCCTCTTCACCCCCCTCTCTACTTCAAAATAGTAGCAAAACCGCTCAAGGCTTTACACACATACATACTGCAGAATCTAGGTTATGAGCATCCAGCAGAAGAGAAAATGATCAGGAAAGACAGAAAAATAGAAAAAAAACATAGCCATTTGAGAAACACATCATTGCTTCCATTTGATCTATACATCCATCAGGAAACAGATTTAAACCAAGGCTGTCAATCAAATTACTTGCATGAGGTGCTGATTAATTAGATTAATCACATATTTGATCATATATTTGTTGACAAAAGCTAATTTAAGAGAATTTAAGACTTTATGTATGTACGGAAAATATAAATATGTATACTTGTATTTTTCTATATATTTAATGTAACAACCTCACAGGGGAAAAAAATGTGTGACGGTACAATGAGAATAAAGAGCTTGACTTGAAAAAGGATATTCAATGGGAAAAAATTACTTGATTGTATCTTTTAGGAATTTATTGGGTTGTGAAAAACTGTTTCTATATGACAGGTAGTTAGAAGGCTGAAAAATAAGAGAGCTTGGTGATGTCTGCTGAAAAGGAATGCAATTTATTTGACAGATTAATAGATTCCTTAATGATAGATTACGAAGACATAATTTTCTTGCACTGAATAATGAAATTAATATCATGCTGATATTATAGGTGATGCATGCCATTTCTGTACCACTAGCGTCACCAAAGAGAACTGAAAAAACCTAAACATTTCCCTAAACATGTTCTCATCTCCCATTGGTCAAACAAACCGATAGCCTTGCCCCAAACTCATATCGTTGGTCGAGGTTGTTGTAATGTCATGATGGACAGGATTCTTTCATAGCAACTAATATTAGCAACTAAAACAGTATGACTGTCTGAATAACAACAGGAGGTATAAAAGTAGGTTAACGTAATGAGCTTTAAACAGAGTGTTTATACTATCAGCGGTTAAGGGCTAGATTACATTTTAAATGGCCCTGTCATATGTACATTAACACTTTTTTACTTGTTAAAACTGGCTAAAACCTGTTAATATTCTGAAACGGGTTCTTCCACACCAAACGGTTAAAAATTATTATAGAACAGATGGTTTCAAGCGAATACACAACACAAAGAACTAATCTGCATCAGAATAAGAAGGTTCAATCTTCAGGGTTAAGCTCTAAGCACGAGGTTACAGTCCTCCACCCGAGCAGGAATTCCTCAACATTACACCATACTCTTATGTTGTCACCCTTGTGTGATGTTTTTACACAAGCTTGTCAACCTGAAGTGCCTGTAGATCTCAAGAAGAGGAAGAAACATCGAAAATCACCTTTATGGGACATGAACACATCCTTAAGTTAGATCCTTCCTTTTTAACAAAAGAATAACAACAAGAAAAAAATATTAATAATTGAATCACACAAACCTTGCACCTGTTTATGTACATTATTAATCTATGTGCGTGAGAGAGAGAGAGAGAGAGAGAGAGAGAGAGGTGAATTGAGTGCGTGTGATTTATTAATATTTGTGAGTGAATGTGTGTGCACGTGTATGAGTGTGCATGGTTGTGCTTGCAAGTTTGAGGGTTTTTTTGTTTGTTCGTGTATCCTAGGTTGGGTTCGCAACTTAGATTTTTTTTCTTTTATGCATCCCCATAAACTATCCATAGGCTTTTCACTCAAAGTCTAACACTGAAGACCCATTTTTAGACACTGTACTGTACACATGCATATACTAAGTGCTACTGCCAAAAAAAGCTGACATTTCCTTATAAACAGTGAATAACCATTTAAAATGCATTCCACTTGCAAAAAAAATAAATTTGATAGTGCTCACAAACTGTATTTTAAATGCAACCAAATTCTCAATAAAACTGTTTTCACTAGTATATTTTTCTGTTTCTTATAAACAGTGAATAACCATTTACAATGCATTCCACTTGCAAAAAAAATAAATTTGATAGTGCTCACAAACTGTATTTTAAATGCAACCAAATTCTCAATAAAACTGTTTTCACTAGTATATTTTTCTGTTTCTGTTGTAAGACAACGGGATGAATATGAAATGGAGACTGAAACGCGGCACATTAGAACTACCAGCTCTCCGTTAGATGTTAATCCACACAAAAATCCTGATTCATAATCACGACGTTGTCTAATGAAATCAAATACACATAAGATAAAGACAATGGCTGTGCTGTGATTTCGGCAATATTTGCATGTAATATAAAGTTCGAAGCAACATAATATCGGTTTTAACTGAAAGCGCTGCTCCTCTCAGCCTCTCGCAGAACAGAGCAGATGCAGAGAGAGGCGTGTGTGCGCTGGGAAAGAGAGACCCCGCGCTCGTGCGGCAGGACCGGCGAGTCTCAGAAACTAAATAAGGTTTGTCCAAGAAGCCGCCAGGCACTTTTTTTTTTTTTTTAAAAAGTCGCTAAAGGGGTCTTAAAAGTCGCTAAATCTAGAGACAAAGTCGCTAAGTTGGCAACACTGCCACGCTCTTATGTTAGCTCTCTCTGCTTGCCTGCTGCGACACTTGGTTAGGTTGCGGTGCGTTCAAAAACAAACAGATATTTATTGAACAAAAGACAAGTTATTTCGAGTCATTTAACTCAAGTCCGAGTCAAGTCTCAAGTCATGAATATCAAGTCAAAGTCAAGTCAAGTCTTTTATGAGTATCTGTCAAGCAAGTCTCAAGTCCTAAAATTTGTGACTTAAGTCTGACTCGAGTCAAGTCATGTGACTCGAGTCCCCCACCTCTGCTGTGTGCACAGAGAACTGTCTGTGTAAATGCATCTAATGCCACTTCAGATGCAGCTTCTGTTTCCTCAGCAGTGGAAAGATAGAGTTTGTTAATACCAATTTCATTTGAATGATAACAACTCTACAGTTTCTTATTATTCTAACTGAATTAATTGAAACAAAGTATGAATTTGATGTGAAACATGACATTTAATAAGATTAGGGGGAAAAAATGACCATTTATAAACATAGTGGGAAATGACATCTATTTTGTTACATACAGCAACTTATTTTAAGTTAACTATTTCTTCCTCTTTCCAGTCACAGAGCACTTTATTTTGGGGGTTGTTTAAGTGAGAGAAAATCTGTAACTTAGTCCAGATTGGGGG